TTTTGCTTTTTTGTGTTTTTTTAGTTATAAAGGCATCTAGCACAATGCTCTGTAATATCTGCTGAGTAAACAAGCATATTTATCATTACAGCAGCCATCTTGTTATAATCACTAATGATAAAATTATGGGGAAATCCATGAACCTGAAAATGAACCTGCCTCTGTGGTGCTCCACAAAGTAATTGATGCACAGGAAGTGTTTCTAACAGTGCCTGGCGTGGAGGAGGTGCTGTATCCATTTCATGTTTGTTGTTATTGCTTTTGTTGTGGTATATTCTCTTCTCTGCCATATTAATGTGTTCCTTTTTAATGCTAGAGAAAATCTGAAATCTCTTGTTATTAAGTGAACAAAGGCCAAGGTCCTCTCTAAACTATCATGACCAACTCTTAAAACCAGGATCAGACTTGTAAACCAAACACTTGATAAATTGAGCTTCGAAGTCCAAAGTTTGTGCTTTCTCTATCTTTTTCTTTGGAGGATTTACTTAATTAATCTGTCACTTTTCCAGAGGTCTCCCTCACCTGTGTCACTAAATTTCTTTTGAGTTCTCCCAGTTGGCAAATTAGCCATCTAGCTTGAGTATTAAGTAGATAGTAGTGTCTCTTACTAATACCCTTGGAGATTCTTTTAGAATTAAGTAATTTTGCCTTACAAGAATGGGCATGTTTTTGTTCAGAATTGGAGAGCATATTTTCCAGTGATATAAATGGTGATATTAGCATTGAACACAACGGAATTTTAGGCCTTTGTTTTAAGTATATAAAATACATAAAATCCTGTAAGGAGAAGTTAGATGATGTTTTTTAAACTGTTAAATTGATATTAAAGAATTATTGTCATTTTGGGAAATACTTTGTATCTTGGTATTTTTTTTAAAACACTTCTTATTTTCTTTAGACCCATACTGAAATATTTATGAGTGAAATAACATGATGTCTGGTATTTGCTTCAAAATAATATGGGAGGGTCATATGGGTCAGAGCAGAGAAAAAATAGAATTGGCCAAGAGTTGATAATTGTTAAAGCTGAAGAAGGTATACTTAAGGATTCATAATACCAATCTGCCAACTTTTGTATATGTTTATGATTATTCATAATAATTTTTAAAATTTTAGGTAGAATATAAAATAAGTTATTACCATCAAATCCTGAGTTGCTAGAAGAGGCTATCAACACAAATCTAATTACTCTATTTTCAAGTTCCATTAGGGTAGGATTCGTGACTTAATAAGCTACTTTATATCCCTTACGTGTAATATTGTAGGAGTTCAATATATGTTTTGGGGTGAATTAATCATCTTCACTATACTAAATTTGCAGTGAATCACTTCCAGCAAATATCACATATCCACGTAAATTGAATTTTATTAGAAATGTCTAGTAAGTATCACCCACCAATCATCAGATTATTCAAGCCCAAAACCTAGAGTCGTCCTTGATTCCTCCCCTTACTTCATCCTCCATATCTGGTCCATCACCAAACCTCACTGGTTCCACTTCCACAGTACACCCCACGTCTGGCTACCTCTTGCAGCCTAGTTCAGTCATCTATCATCTCCTGCGCAGACAGCTGCCACAGTCAGATGCCACTGATAGGAAAAACAGGTGCAGTGAAGAGGTCTACTATTTCCCTAAGTCCCCTTTCTCCTTCTTCAGTCTATTCTCCAGGAAGAGCCTGAATGATTTTTTTTTTAATGGAAGTCAGGGTGTGTCACTCCTTCTCTCCAAATCAATGTTTCATAGTAAACTTAGAATAAAATCCACGCTTCCTATCACAGCTAACAAGGCCTGTGCCTCTGGCTCACTTAGTATGTGTTTCAGTCGCTCAACTCTATTTCCAGCACAAGGCGCATCAGGCACTTTCTGCCCTGGAGCTATCGTCCTTGTTTCCTTTGCCAAGTGGTCCCTTCCCCAAGTTCTCTGCATGACAGGCCCTTTTTGTTCTTAGTTATCCCATCCTCAGAAGATACCTTCCCTGATGTATGTAGTTCCTTCATAATAATGATTATAGTCTGCCTGATTTATTTACTTCTCTAGCATATATTTCCTCCAATAGAAGCCTCGTGTCTCTCTCTTCTCATTTCCCCAGAATCCATCACAAAGCCTAACCCATAAAAACCACCTTTCATTGAAATCTAAGATGTGATCAGTTGTAGGATGCAGTGTCATATGATGGGTCACCAAAAAAATAAAAACACTGCAAATTAAACTATGGCAGAATGTGAAAGATTATCATCAATTGAAAGACAGTCTTGACTTTTGAAATATTAAACTGCTGAAAATAGATCCTTGAATTAATGAAATAGGTATCTTGTTGAATAAATAAATGAATATACTTGGCTTAACCATGATTATTGTTTTCTAGTGATATTTTGAGGAAATTATTCTGAAAAACTAGACATGTAGAGGCCAAGAGATTACAAAGGTTATGAGTAGCATTTTATTATGAAAAAGGGGGTATTTATTAGTATGAAGAAGTATGAGTAATTCAAAAGCTTGTATGAGTAATTGTTCCAAACTGCCAATTATTAGCTTACCAGCAATGATTCAAATTTTATAGGCCCTAGGTGGGCCAGGAAACTTGAATTCTCAGCAGATACTTCGAGAGACTCACACAATCATCCTGGAAGTAGATTCAGGCCCTATGTTGTAAAAGGAGGGAAGACAGAGATGATGAGGACAGACACAGACTGGGAGAGCTGGCCATGGGAGGCTAAAGGAATATGATCATATTGCTTCTATCTGTTTAGTAAAACATGAGATCCTTTAGCTTAGGGTAGCGGAGTAGGGATTTTGGAGATTTCAGAAAGAAGAGAAGGCGTGGAATAGGCAGAATGCAGAGGGTGTAAAACATACAAAATTGTGTTTTCTATAGAAATGGAATAGGTTTTCAGGAGGTTTTGAGAAACACTGAGGAAGACGACAAGAGACTTGCCTGGATGTTAGCTGTAGGTATCCCAATGTGGTGTGGTGTGGTGTGGTGTGGTTACATCCGCTGCTGAAGGAGTAATAAGTTACTTGCTCCCTTGAGCTGCCTTGGGTTGCTCTGGTCCCTAAACTACATTCCATTTCTATAAGACCTGTCTATCTGGATGGCTGTGAAATTACTGCTTCCTTTATTCTCATTTATACAGTTTGAGTAAATAAACTTATTGGTAAGGGAGGCCAGATTAAAACATTGACCTGAAAGTAAAATATTCCAGCTCTTGCACCCTAAAGTATGTGGCTTATCAATAAGCAAGAGTCATTTGAGATGGCCCAAGGCTCAAGGGAACTCCTTTGTGGAACGAAAAGAAATTGTCTTTCACATGCTAAATATTGAAGTTTTCTATTTTCATAGGAATAAAGTACAGACTCCTAAGATGTCTTCATGCTCTGCCCTCCTGCTCTGACCCCAATTCATCTGTACAGCCTCTGCCTTAAGCTGTAACTGAAAATAATTTATTATAAAACATAATTTGGGTTATAATAACCATGCAGTAAGTGCAATAATAAAATCTGATTGTAACTACAGGGAGGATATAGCTCAGTGGTAGAGTGCATGCCTAGCGTGCTAACATTTAAAAAACCTCTCTGGACCATGTTCTGTACAAAAGTAGCATAAAATGATGTAGCATCTTCCATTTCAACAGATCAGTACTATTACAAGGTGGTTTATCCAAAGCCTGATTTTTTTTTTAATGTCATTATTGGTCTGGCTTGTGTCCTTTACTAGTATTAAATATATCATTGCTAGGCAGCTTATGTCTCCTCAAGTCTGTGCCAGATAAACAGCAAAGTTGAGGGGAAAAAAAAAGTCACTATGAGTTTAGGGTTTTTGTTAATTGCTTGTAGTAGAGGCTTTTTTTTCTCAGATCATGAGACTTTCCTCATTCCTCCGTTGATCTTCATAGTGGGCTTTTCTCATTAAAGTCAATGTGTTTTGCTTTCTCAGAATGTCAAGGTCACCCACGTGAAAAATAAGTTATTTAGTATTGTTTGCCATTTGCAGCCTTCACTGCCTCCCTTTGCTACACTAAGTTGGGCAAAAAGAGATTATGGTGCCATGAACGTAAAGAGTTCTCATTCACTGCTTATGGAAAACAGTTCTAGGTCTTCCTTATTTCAACGTAATTTATTTTCTTCATATTTTAAAACTTAATTGTGTCCACACTTTGTACCTGAATCTTATACTGTAACTTTCAACGCTAGCCACATCTAGTATCCCCTACCAAATGAATGGTAAGTGTAGTATTCCAGTATATTCCTCCTCCTCTCTCCTTATCCAGCTCTGTGATTATCTGAAAAAATTCATTTTATTAATTACCTCAGTAATTAGCCAGATCTCATAGGGATTTGTTTTAAATGCAATTGGTTTAATTTTCTTCCTTGTTCTTACTTACCTGCTCCTATGATTCTGATGACATGGGAACAGTTATATGTTCTTTACCTGGAAGAATCAGGAAAAATAGAGGGGTTTTTTTTAGTGATGATTTTTAAACTACTGGATGCTGTTTATATAAATACTTTCAAAATTTTCTTTGTCTGCCTTTTAAAAGTAGTTAAATGTGCCCTAAGTTTAGTGCTGAGTTAGGTTGTGGTAAGGTTGAAAAATCTGAAACACCGTTTCATCCTGCTGTTCCTTTATTTAGCTCAGTGTCTAAATGCTGTCTCACCCTGTGGTTTCCAGAGGATGGGATGATAATTTGCTGCTTTGGTGAGCCTGTGGCTTAGGTCCATTTAAGCTCTAATATTTGATTATCATTATATTTCATGATAGAGAATGTTTAAACATGCTATCAATCATTTTGGAAATATTAGATAGTAATTAATTATTTTGGTACCACCTGAGATAGGGACTGAAATGATTATCATTTATTATGTTAGGAATCATGAAAAAGGACAGATAATCCTTTATTATAGTCATGAAATAAGCAATGCTGTATAAAAAAAGAAGAAAAAAAAAGTGAAATTTAATAACCAGTGCCTTTTTTTCTCTTTCATTTGCTCTTTCACACAGGTACAACTTGGCCAAGTGGAAATCAAATGCCCCATCACAGAATGTTTTGAATTCCTGGAAGAAACAACAGTTATCTATAACTTAACGCATGAAGACTCCATCAAATACAAGTACTTCCTGGAACTTGGCCGTATTGATTCCAGCACCAAGCCATGTCCTCAGTGCAAGCACTTTACAACCTTCAAGAAAAAAGGACATATTCCCACCCCTTCCAGATCAGAAAACAAATACAAAGTAAGCATGTTCACCAGAGTTGTGGGTTAGATGTCACATGATGGGAGCAGCCAAATTAGGCCAACTGGTGGTAGGCAGTAAGTGGGCTTCCTTCTCTTATCGGAGTCCAAGGTGAGTATATACTGGCTGTGATTCTGAAAATGTGTGGTTTGGGGATGCTGCTGATATGAGAATATTTTTGAGGTTTAATTAAAGTTTTTCTTTGACTTTAGCCTGTTTAAAATTCATCTAGGAACCTAACTGAAAGGCTAGTCTTTAAAGTAATTGTCATTGCTACTATTGAATATTAAACAAATACTAAGACTTTTTAAAAACCTTAGTACAAGCTTGACTTTTTCAGTGGACCCAGTGTGAGTCCCCTGGTTCTGTCTGTAATAAGTGAAAATAGTATAACGTGCTATTCATTCATTTATTCAGCAAATGCGAAGTGCCAGTATATGCTAGGCAGTGTGCTAAGTCTGGGGGATACAGTAGCAAATGTGACATAGTCCTTGCTCAGAAATGTCTAATGAAGGTGAGAGAGACATGTTCTAAACAAAAAACAAAAACGTGAAACCCAGCACACTTGTGCCTTGAGAATACTGACGGAGGAGGGGAAGCTAGCATGTCAGGAAAGGGTCGTGGAGAAGATGTTGTTCTCCAGGCGGATAAGCAGATAAACAATGGAGAGCATTTCAGAGCAAGGGATGAGTAAGCTTCGGGCACAGAGGCTGAGGCAGCCAAGATGGAAATGAGTGCTTGGTAGAGCTGCAGGAGGGAGAAGGCGGGAGGAGGCTGGTCAAGTATTTAAGAGCACATCATGTTGAGTCTTTTATACTGTGCTCAGGTTTGAATTTCATTTGTAGGCATCCCAGAAAGATCATTCTAGCAGCATAATAGAGGATGTCACAGGAAGGCAAGACTGAAGGCAGGGAAACCACAGCAACAACTGTGGGAGCAACTCATTGATTCACAGCCTTGACTGCACATTAGAATCACCTGGAGAGCTTTGAGACACATCAGAGCCCAGCCCCCAGGCCCACCCCTGGACAAACGTCTTGCACATTTTTTAACCTCGCCAGGTGACTCTAATGTGCCGCAGAATTGGAAACCTTTGCAGTGAATGAAGCAGAAAAATGACGGGGCCAGTGGCAGTAGTTTTCATCCTTGTCATTACAGCAGAATGGCAAGATGAAGTGGTTTCAAAGGCTCTGTAAGGTAAGTTTTTGCCGTTGTTTGGTGTCTTGGAAGTGGTAGTCACTACATTATTCATTCTGTCACTTTGAGGTGACCATGATTTAGCAAGTGTCTTCCTGCACTTTTGCAATGATGGACTGGTAGAGTAAGTTAGTCAAAGCCTCTTAATGAGTGATTGATCTTTGAAACTGCTTGACTCTCACAGTTAAACTTTTTTAAACGAAGTACTGGGGAGTGAACCCAGGACCTCTTGCATGCTACGCATGTGCTCTACCACTGAACTATACCCGCCAGCTAATTTTTTTGTCTACTATTTCTGGGCAGGCTAGTTACTTCAAGGCATAACTGTCAGGAAAAAATTTTTTTCCTCCTCAAAAAAGTGGATTTATGAGGTTACAAAATTGTGTAACTAAAATAATACATAGCTTCACAGTGATTTTGAATGCTGACAGTAACAAAAGAATACTTTTATTTGACTGTATATTCTTAGGTGATTTTAAATTATTTTTATTCCAGTTTTATGTTACTGATGTTACCAGAAATTACTAGTTTTAGAAGGACTTGTTATTCCATAACTTAGAACATTTGATTTTTTGTAAATTATGTTTACAGTTTTATCTGCTATATTTTATATGTTTATATTATTTATATGTTTATAAAATATATACATAGTTAATACATACATACAAACACATATATACACAACTCAGGCTATACTATTTTGGAATTTGTGGTAATTAAAACATGTATATGTAATTGAATCAAAGTGGAAATAATTTTTAAATATATTATTCTTAATGAGTGAAAGGTAGTATAATTTAAGGGGCAATCATAACTTTAATTTAAAAAAAAGAAAAAAAAATTTTTGGAAGGGGCAGTTATCACAATAGTAAAATGTTACAGGTCTCATTTCATCCAAAGCATCAAATTATGTTGGGATGAGCATAAATTATCACAATGCACATGTATTGAGAGTGAAATGGAAAAATTTAAAAATATAAGCTCCTGTATTTGTATAATTTGAGTGAACCTAGGGCACTCTGATAACATTTCTCAACATCAGGCTTCCTCCGGTGTTGGGTTGTAGGTGAGAAGAGAAGCAGGGACACAACAGTACTTCAGTTTTTGTGTTTTATTTACTTTTTGATGAGCAAGGTCATAGGAAATTTGCTTCTGGGAGAAGAGGAATTCAATTCAAACTAAATGTTATCGGTTATGTAGCAGAATCCTTAGAATGGGAGAGAGATGAAAATCATAATATAAAGTGAATCTATTAAGCAATTTTCAAGAAAAACAAAGCCAGCGCAGACTTTGGGGATGGTTACTGCTGTTTTCTCCTTTACTCTTGTAGAAGAGATGATCTGTAACAGAAAAGGCGAATAACCCCCTTTCTGTATTCTACGGAGTTCTAGGGATAATGTGAACAATTTCCGAAGCAATGATTTTTACTACTTAGTACAATGTTTACACAACATTTTTGTCGTTAGTCTCCAAGCTCTCACATTACCATTAACTACCTGCCCATATGTGTCTGGATAGTATGAGTAAGGGGGGTGGGGGGCCGACGTGGATACTCCAGCAAACCAA